TAGATAGATAGATAGATAGATAGATAGATAGATAGATAGATAGAGGATAAAGGATAGATGAGATAGATAGATGATAGGTAGGTGACAAAAATCTCTATGTAGAAATTTAATTTTTTTCATGGCTGAGGCCCACATTTCCTCCCCAGAGGTCAGTTCATCTCAGAATACATGGCCGCTTCCAGTCTGTTCATAGCCTTTTGTTTGGACTGTCATTATTGTACTTAGTATTCTTGTGTAGGAGGATAGATAGCTGGATGAATAGATATTGATAGATGATAGATAGATAGATGATAGATAGATAGTAGATAGTAGAGATTGATTGATTGATTGATTGATAGATGATAGAGATAGATAGATGATAGATAGATAGATTTAGATAGATAGATAGAGATAGATAGATTGATTGATAGATAGATAGATAGATAGATATAGATAGATGAGACAGACAGATTGATATAGATAGATGATAGATAGATAGATAGATGATAGATGATAGATAAAAGATATGATAGATAAATGATAGATAGATGATAGATAGATAGATATAGATATGACAGATTATAGATAAATGATTGATAGATATGATAGATGATTGATTGATAGATGATAAATAGATAGATAGATAGATAGATAGATGATGGATGGATAGATGATGGATGGATGGATAGATAGATAGATGATGGATGGATGGATGGATAGATAGATAAATAGATGATGGATGGATAGATAGATGATAGACAGATGACGGATGGATGGATAGATAGATAGATGTGTGCTTATACGCAACAATAATAAAAAGGACAAGAAATTGTGAGGGAGTGGGGGGATGGGAAGAGGTGAAGGGGGATTGGTTGGGAGGGATGGAAATAATGCAAACACAGCACTCACATATGAAATTCTCAAAAACAAAATAAAGCTTAAAAAATAATTTTAAAAACCCATATACTGTAGCTAAGACTAGCCTCCTGGCCTTGCATCAGCCGGGAGTCCAGAACCAAGGAACATGGAGTTAGGAAAGCAGTGTGCCATCCTGGCCCACTAATACACCCTCTCGGCCTTTATCAAAACATTGGGACTAAAAATGCAATAACCTCAGGTGACAGCTAGAGAGCTGACTTAAAGCTGGCATTTCCTACTGCCAACCAAGTAAGAAATATCCACCAGCCAGTGTAAAATAGACTAAGGCCTTGAGAAGTGGGCTCCTGCCTACTTCCCAGCTATAGTTACAAGACTTAGTCCATAGTCTAGCACATTCCAGGTACTCAATAAACGCATGTTGAATGACTAAAGCAATAGACAATAATTTTTAAATATTTTATTTTTATTTTTATGTGTATGAGTGTATTGCCTCAGGTGTGTAAGTGTACCCATGTCATGCAATGCCCACAGAGGTGAGAAGAGGGCGTCAGATCCTCTGGAACTGGAGTTAGCTGCCATGTGGGTGTTGGGATTTGAACCCGGGTCCTCTGGAAGAGCAACCAGTGCTCTTAACCACTGAGCCATATCTCTAGCCCCTCAGCTGTTGTTTTTGTCAACAGGGAATACTTAAAAACACTACCATCTTCCTCTTTCTTGTCTGTATCAGAGTCACAAAATTGAATTATAATTCAATAATTACCTTAAGCGTGTCATTTTCTTCCTATAAAACCCAAGAGTTTATAAGCATTCATCATGCCCCACTTTATCAAAAGGCCCAGCAGCTGAAACTCAAGATTAGACACACGTTTTTCACCACAAAGAATAGAAAACTAGCTGTGGCATTCCCCTACATTCTGGAATTATCTCCTTCCTTGGTTGATTGAACAGATGCATTCCTCAGACACGTGCTTCTTTTATATAGGCATAGGGAAGCTGTTCAGACTTACTTACTTCATGTCAACATGATTCAAAAGCAAGCCACAGTGTGGGTTACAGAAAAAGCACATTAAACTAGCTCTACTTTCTACAACTTGACAATGTTTGCAGGGATAACAAGCAATCCTGGGGCTGGAGAGATGGCTCAGTAGACAGTGCTGGTCATGCAAACACAGGATCTGACGGGATCCCCAGCACCCAAGCAAAAAGCCAGGCACTGTGCTACATTCTATAATTCTAGGGCTGGGGAGGCAGAGACAGGAGGGTCCTGGGGCTCAGTGGCCAGCCAGTCTAGCCAATCGTCAAGGTCCAGGTTCAAGGAAGCATCCTATCTATAAGGTGGGGGCTGAAGAGATGGCTGAGTGGTTAAGAGCACTGGCTGCTCTTACAAAAGACCCAGGTTTAATTACCAGCATCTACATAGCAGATAACAACTGTCTGTAACTCCAGTTCCAGAGGATCTGACACCCTCTTCTAGCCTCCATGGGTACTGCATGATATAGGTGCAATTACATACGTGCAAGCAATACACTCATATACATAAAATTTTTAAAAATAAATAAGGTGAAAAGCAATTGAGGAAAACACCCAACATTGACCTCTGTCCTCCACATGCATATACACCCACACACAAGCACACACAAACACATATACATGTATATACTACAACACACACACACCCCAACACTACATATAGTGAAATTTCCAGAATGAAGTGATCAGTGTTTAAATCTCTCATCACAGAAACAGACCTGCTTTTCTATTCATGAGACTTGGGCTGGAGACTAAATTTCAATATCGTGCTAAGTATTACAAAATATACCTCTATGAAAAGACTCTGTGTGATGCAAAAATCCCAAAATATCTGCTTTAGAGACATATAAAATTCCATTATACACACACACACACGCACACACACACACACACACACACACACACACACACACACACACACACACACACACACAGCTGCCAGTCCCAGTTCTTCTAGGAGTGATTCACAACAAAGAGATCATTATTTTTGAATTTATGGCTTCACACTTTCTTGGTGCAAAGGAATAATCAACACCATAAGGGCGGAGGTAAAGAAAAAAGCACGGTGGGCAAACCAGAGCAATAAAAGGCAATTTAAATAATAAATTGACAACAGCTGGTTATAAGCAGCATCCACTGCATCAATAGAAAGAAGCACAACAGGCACGCATACCAGGTCTCCTAACAGGTAACAATGCACTCATTTGAACCAAAAGCTCAGCACTCTGTGTCAAATTTGCTTAAACACACGACGGATGGCTTTTACATTTAACACACTTACATTTTCTGTGGTTCCAGTAATCACGTGCAATCCATCATAGGTTGATTTGATGTACATGCCCTGGAGGAGTCACAAACATATTAACTCATTACTCCGACATTTAGACAGAGAGCGGAAAGTGAGACCTGATCTTATAAAACATTAAACAGTCCCTCTGGAACAACGTTCTTTTTTTTTTTTTTAAGCCTCCTGAAACACCAGGAAACTGGATCCAAAGAGCATCGAGAAAGCACCAAACAAACTGCAATGCCGGTGAAAGGGATCAGAGAGGAGATCTCTTCCACACGATAATCTGGATCCCACACACAGGATTTTGCCACAACGCTTTAGGGTGGGGAATTTTCTCAGACCTGCCCAATGAGCCAGGCATTTCAAACAAGGGCTATTCTTTGCTGACTATCTCTTTTTCCCAGGGAAACAACACAGTCAGTTACACTTGGTATTGGTGGTACTTGTGGGGTGACTTACTGGAACCAACCATCGTGGAGACCAAGGTGTACAGATGAATCTTGTGAAATAATACAACACAGATAGCAAACTAGTAACAACACTGCTGTATTTTAAGGCAAGCCAAGGATGGATGAATACTCCCTCCAAAGACTGGCCTATAGGCAAACTTGGGGAATATTACTGGGGAAATATTTCTGCAGTTGGACAGCCTAATCATAAAATCATAAAATATTCTTATTAAACTATTAGAAGATGGGGACAGGGCAAAAAGTAGTTACTTGTCCTGATATCTATACTGTAATAACTGTAGAAACTATTTTGACCTTGAACTTGCCCCACTCAGCAGCCCATAGCCCTTACCACTTTGGAAAAAGGATGTCATCAAATCCTAAACTCCTCAAGGGTCCTGCCATTCTCCCTCAAGTTCTTTGATTATTAGTCAATGTGCTTCCTCCCTACAGTGTGGTACATCTCTTCCCAGGTCATCGCTGGGATAACTTAATGACCTAAAAGGAATATTCCATCTCAGTCCACTCAGGACATGGATCTGATTCAATTCTTCACCTTGAACTCACCTCCAGGAATTCTTTTTGGTTTAAAATTAAACTGTTATAATCCATCATTTACTTTAAACCAAATACCAGAGTGTATTTCTACACACTAAGAATGTAGGTTTGTTGACTATGATTTTTATTTTCCTGTAAGAGTCGAGGCCGTGTGTGTGTGTGTGTGTGTGTGTGTGTGCGTGTGCGTGTGTGTGCGCGTGTGCATGTGTCTTCTTGAGACAGGATCCCCCTGTAGCCCAGGTGACCTGGAGCTCATTACGTAGACCATGGCCTTGATCTCTCAGAGATCCACCTGCCTCTGCCTCCTGAATGCTGGGATTAAAGACATGTGCCATCACGCCTGCCTCAAAAAGACCTTTTTTTTTTTTTTAGATTTTATTTTACTTTTATAAGTATACCACGTGCATGCCTGGTACTTGTAGAGGCCAGAAGGGGGCATTTGATCTCCTGGAACTAGCATTATAAATAGCTGTTAGCCACCATGTGGGTGCTGGGAACCAAACCTGGGTCCTCTGCAAGAGCAGTCCGTGCTCTGGACACTAAGCCATCTCTCCAATGCTAGAAGCTACTTTCATGTCCTCTGCAGCAGTGTACACGTTGGCAGCTGGCTCCTCGTCCTCAACCTCCACCTACCACCATCACCACCAGCAATAGTAGCCACAGCCAGTATCACAGGCTCTAGGGTCTGAGCACAGGGCACCCCACTGACTATTATAATAGTTTCAGAAACTCTTTAAAGAAGCTGACGTGTCAGCTCTGACTCAAAAGCTTTAAGCCAACAAATCCAGTGGAACTCTTCACTTACAGTTCAACAAATTAATCCCCTGGGATAACTGCTGCCTGCGGTCTCCTGCTGGCATTCCAGAGAGTGCCACTAGGCACCTCACACAGGACTGGGGAAAAGTTTCTGAAGTTTTCTTAAGAATCATTTCCTTCCACCAGACTCTTCTCACATCCATCCTAAGTGCTAATAGAGACTTTGAGAACAGATGTTTTTGTACCCAGAGACCGTCTCTCCTTTGTGTAAATGTTTTATATTTCCTTGCATTGCTAAGCCCTAAAAATAAATCTGTTAAGGGTATGGTATTTATTTTTATACCTGAAAGATAAAACTCTTAACTGAGTTTAAGATAGCAAATTCCTAGCCACATAAAGAATGACAGTCTAACTTAACTCTACTACTCAGAGTTATGCTGAAAGCAGTAAGAATTTTTTTAACTTTAGTAAATGTTAGTGTACATTATTTGAAAAATAGAGCAAGTCTCATTAGCATTCCTACCAGGCCTTCCCCAGGCTTGACATCGGGTAAGTGAACTTCTTCCAGGCATGCGCACTGGCTCATAACAGGGTCTGTGGTTGAGCGCACTGTTTTGTCACAGATGCCATTTAAGACCTTGACCTGGAATGGGGAGGAATTCAATCATTAACCAGGTTTATCTCAAGTTGATTTTTAAAGAAATGCACCTCACCTACAATTCTTAGTCCCAGCTAGCAATCACTGTGATAATCCTGCTCAGTGAACGCCTGGCATTTGGACTCTGAGTCTGCTGTCTAGGGAAGGGAGCCACGGCTTCAGCTCTGTTTAAAGAGTATGACTTTTCCAATCTCACCTTTACGACCACAAGCCAAGGAAAAGAGCCTTCTGCAATGGGCCCAGCACTTGATGGCCTCTTAGTGTCATCTTGGTTGTTCACATTCTCCAAACACCAAATATTAACAGGGGGAAATTTTTTTTAACCTAAATCAGCTTTTTTAATAAACTTCAGGTTTATAAATAAAGTAACAAATACACTGATTTTCCATACACTTCCTCTTCCTATGCCAGCTTCCACCACTATCAACATCTTATATGATGTGGTATATTTGTTAAAGCTGATGAACCAATATTTAAGTCCATAAACCAATATTTAAGTCCATAGTTTTCATTAGCATTCACTTTGTGGGATACACTGTATGGGTTTTGACAAAGGCTTAATGTTGTATAACCATCATTAAAGCATCAAACGGTAATTTTCACGCCCTCAGAACCCCCTGGGTTCAACCTACTAATCCATTTCCTATTTCTTCACCCTGGACGCCTGGGCAGCACTAAATCTTTTTTTCTGTCTCTATGGCTTTACTTTCTCCAGAGTGTCAAGTAATTGGAGTGACAAAGTATACCGTCTTCTCTTACTGGCTTATGCCAATCAACAATATGCATTTAAATTTCCTCCACATCTTTTCATGCCTTGATAGCTCGTTTCTTTTTATTGCTGTATAACACTCAGTTTTATGGATGTACCGTATTTATTTATCCACTCACCTATAAAAGGACAGCTTGGCTGCTTCCACTGGGGGGCAATAAGGAATAAAGCTACCATAAACATTTTGTACAACTCAGGGCAGGTTTTTGTTAACATTAAGTCTTCGATTCCTTTGGGCAAATACTCAACAGTGTAACGGGTAGACCATACAGTTAGAAGGCACTTAGCTTTACAAGCAACTGCCACATCGTCCTCTAAACTGGAGGTACCATTCTTTGTTCTTCCCAGCAATGAGTGCTCGTGCCCACTGCTCCACATTGTTGCCAACATTTGGTGTTGTCATTGTTGAATTTTAGCCACTCTAATAAGTGTGTGGTATATCTTGTTTCAGTTGCAATTCCTTAATTACAAATGGTGTTCCGTGTGCTTGTCACTAAGGATCTGTTTTTAATTGAACTGCTTTCTGAATTTTAAGCATCATTTGTGTATTTTTGGTTCCATGTCCTTTATCTGACATGGTTTTTAAAAATGCCTTCTTTCAGTCTGTGGCTTAACATCCCGTTGTCCCTATATTTCACAGAGAGCTTTTTATTTTAATTAAGTGTCCATTATTACTTTTACTTTGATACACTCTGCTTTTGATTTTCTACCTAAAAACTCATCTCTAAACCGCAAATCACCTAGACTTCCCCATAATGTCTCCTAAAATTTTGAAGTTTCACAGTTTTCATTTTTAGACCTATTGCCTCTTAGTGATCCCTCACATTTTCTGACTGCCAAACACTGAAATTCCAGAGAGACAAGTGAGGGTTCCCAGGAAGCAGTCTCATTATGGAATTGGGTTCACTGTGGTATTCTTGCAGTCAGATCCATCCAACCTTTCAAAATCAAATGACCAACGGCATCAGGAAATTCCAAAGGGTGACTTTTCTGTCCAAGGGGAATCCGTGAAGTGACACGTTTTTACACCCCGCCCTATTTATGGAAATATATTTATAGCAGTTTCATTGCCAAATTCCTCAACGTCAGTAGGAGGAAGGGCTTATCAAAGGCACACAGGCTGGCTTGTGTCAAAGGGAGGAAGTGAGGGTGAATCATTTCAAAGTGCTCCTAACAGTCACAGCACACCCACCCCTACCCCTATCATAAAGTTTGGACCAGGGTATTTTTTTTTTATCAAAATCATTCTAAGGTGAAATGTGCACATTAGTCTAACGCTGACTAGCAGGATAAGCTAGTAGCTTGTGTGCAATTGCACCTTCATGAATTGTCTAAAAAATATAAATTAAAACAGAAACAGACCAGAGACCCCAATACAGTCAATAAGCATAAGAATTCTCACAATTGTCGGTCTCATTAAACAACTTTTACTCTTCCTCTTCCATCTAAATTAACAGAATCAAATCCCAAAAGCCAGCATTTCAAAGTCTAACTTGAGATAATTAGCCATGGCGCATTTAACTAATGTGATTCCTATTGTCTTTGGGAAAGGAATTTTACAATAACTTTTAGAAAATATACTTACTACATTTAAAACTTTATCCTCCATTTCTGCTACGAGGCAGTCCTAAAGAGGGAAGAAGAAAACTAAGTAGATGAGCAAAAAGCTTTTTAAAATTTGGCTTAAATCTTTCCTAGAATTCACAAAGTCCCTCTGCACCACCCAGCACTCAGTCTGTGCAATCCTGGCAGAGCCATATAACAGGGCAGAGGAGGAGTGGGCCATCCTCTCCAAAGACTCCACTCTCCCCAGTCCATGGAGCTTATCACCATGTGAATGATCATCTCATTTGAAACTTATAAAAACCACCACAATTGGGGAAGGAGGATATAGCTCAGTGATAGAGCACTTCCCTACCATCCACAAGGCCCTGTGTTCCAGCCCCAGCATCACAAGAACCACCAGGCAGAAATCTACCAACTGGCCAATAGACAGACAGACAGACAGACAGACAGACAGACAGACAGATGATAGATAAAGAAAAATCCCAGGTCCGAACATCTGCTCCCAATGTGACCCCAGGCTCAACTAGCAGCAGGTTACCAAGCCAGCAGTCCTTAGCTCCAAGGTTTGCCTATAAGAGTAGCTTTCAAGTAAGGCCTTGGGTAAACTCAGCCACAACAGTTTATTTTAAGCACCACTGAGATTAAATCACATACTTCAGTCCTTGGAAGATGAAAAAAGTTTAACAAAACATTCATTAACACACTGCCAAAAAAGTGGTCTTGAGGTATGCTATTGATGACATTAAATAAAGGGCTGGAATGCGAAGCTTTATTTACTCAGCTAAAGAACAAAAGGCCAAGAGCTGTGCCAGTGGAGTCAGTGGAGTACAGGAATCACCAGAGTCCCATCCAGAAGTCACCACAGCAAAACTGCCAACACTAAACTTCCACAGGTAACCTTCTAGAACCATCCACAGCGAGGGATTTCAATGTAGACCGCAGGGTGTATGAAAGAAAACTGAGGTGAGCTGGTGTCTTTACAGTGTTTCCCGCACCATCAAGTACCATTCCAAACTGAGCTAATATTGAAAATAATGCTAATAGTTTCAGGTGCATAAAAAAATATGAATCTGTTCCGAATTACCAGGTGAAGATTTTCATGTAACTCAAAAATGCAAACTTAGGGTATTTTTTTCCACTGCCAGTATAGAGTACGGCTACCAATTTCTACATTATATGATTTAATGATTAGAATTTCACTGTCTTCTTAAAACTTTTAAAATTTTCTCTACCAGATAAAAATAGAAGACACAGAGACTGGAAAGATGATTCAGTGGTTAAGGGTCCTCCTGCAAGAGACCCAGGTTGAATTCCCAGAACCCACAAGACAGCTAACAACCATATATAATTCCAGTTCCAGAGCATCCAACGCCCTCTTCTGGTCTCTGTGAGCGCTTGCGTATACACGGTGCACTTACATACATGGAGGCAAAACACTCATACACATAAAATAAAAATAAATGTTTTTAAAAATAGAAGACACAATAATAGCTATTTTACTGCTAACCAATACTGATACTGACTCTCAAGAAAAGAGCAGCCTGGGGAGAAAAAAAATTAAGGAAAATTAGAAATACATTTTCAACACTTGTGACTCTGCTACAAATTACACAAGCAACTTCATAAAATAAGAATAACTACAACTCAAGGGTATACTTTTCTGCCTATACCTCCTCTGGGGACTAAACCGTCTACTCCCTGGTACGGGTACTGAAGCACCAGGCACAAGTTAGCATCCCAAATTGTTCAAGCTACTGTGTGAAAGTGCTCACTCTTCACCTTCCACTGAGGGGAGTATGGCTTCCCACACCCATTCTTACTCAAAGGAAACAGCTGCAGCCATGACTTCACATTGTTTGGCGTGGAGGAGATGGAAAAAGAGGTTCCAGGACAAGTCACCCTGCCCCTCAGTGAGTCAGCCACTAAGTCACCTGGATCAGCAGTTAGGGCCCCCCAGGGCAACCAGCAGCTTGCTGAGGGTGGGTCTCCTCTGCCTCCAGTCCTTATTCTACCTTCTAAGGAACTATGCAGCTTTTTGCAACCTGTTTAAGCTCTCTGTATCTGTTTCCTTCTCTGTAAAATAAGATGATTGCAAAGCCAGCATCTTTGGGAAACTGTTGAGAATTTGATGTGATCACGGGCATCAAGCCTGAGGGGATGTCTAGCAGTCAATTCCCACTCAAGAAGGGCATCTTCCTCTTCCCCACCCACTTCCCTTGGGCTCAGATGCTTCTCTATTTTCTGCCAGATAGGGACTCAGCCGCCACCACTACCTCTTCGTTCTCTTACATTACCCTTCTAGTCTTCCTGACATTACATGGGGAGGTCAAGGGGAGGTGTGGACTGAAAGATTCTCCCATCTGTTTCCCTCATCTCATTTTGTAGCCTCAAAACTGGACAGGAAGATTGAGCCTTGTACTTGGGGTAGAGTACGGCAGAAATGGTCTCAGGAGTATGTAGCTTCGCTTTAAGGGAAGAAGAGGAGCTGTGTGCACCCTTCACCACCACCACAAGAAAAAGAGGAGAGGGAGAATTCAAGGAGAGGAAAACCAGATGTGCCTCTTCACAGATGGGACAGGAGATAAAGGTTCTAGGAAAACATGCGTCTCATCACTGGGAAGAAATACAACTCTTGTTCTTTCAGTTCTCTAGTTCAAAGGATTGGATGGATGGAAAAGATGAGCTTCCTCCTAGAGTTAACACAGCAGAAGATCAACTACCATAAGAGACGGTACAGTTTCTTCAACTGTCCACCTGAAGCTTCCATTACACTGCAAATTGGAAATGACAGTCAAATCGTCCATCAAGTAAGCTACCTCTGACTTGACAGTGTGTGTCTGTGTGTGAATATGTGCACACACACGTACCTATGCATACTGACACTTGTCAAAGCGACCGTGCTCTTCAGTTACTGTAGAAAATAAATGCTAGTCAACAGCCAAGGAAACAGCTTTCTCAAAGTTCAGAAAGCAATGGCCCCACATATATTTACCTATCTTTGGTTTTCTAAAACTCTTATAAAATAACTCTTTTATACGTATATGAAGTTATCAAAGAACAGACTCAATAAAAGTTATAAAAAAAACTGTTCAAATTAAATTTTTTTAAATCTCAGAAGATAAAGGCAGCATATTTGCTTAATTCCTCTCCTTCAGTGATCATGTTTGATTCCAGAAAATGAAAAGAAAGCAAAATTTTCCCATTTCCAACTCTACTCTCTGCTTTGAGTAGGCACCGTGTGTTGAATATGTTACAGCTCACGTCACCTTCAAATGGTATTTTGAGGTATGTATTAATTTTTATCTATTTTTAATATTTTATTTTTTATTATTTTTATGTATATGGATGTGTTGCCTGCATGTATGTAAGTACACCCATGTCATACAATGCCAGAGGAAGTCAGAAGAGGGTGTCAGATTCTCCTGGAACTGGAGTTGGGGATGGCTGTTAGCGGCCATGTGGGTGGTGGGAATTGAACCTGGATCCTCTGCAAGAACAGCCAGTGCTCTTAACCGCTGAGTCATCTCTCTATCCCCGGTAGATATTATTTTTTAATATTTCATATTTTGTTTGGGAGTGTAGCTCAGTGGTAGAACACCTGCTTCATGTACATAGGGCCCTATGCTCAATTCCCGGCACCACACACATACAAAAAATCCCACATGACTTTATATTATTTACTACATGTTTTATATGTATGAGGAAGTTTGGTCATATATATGATTTATATATTAACATTTTTCCTCTCTTCTTCCCTCCCCTCCTTCATCTCTCTTCCTCTCTTTCTCTTTTGCTGGGGTAAATACAACTCTCTTTCCCTGCCAGGGTAAATACAACTTTTCTCCCAAATTACCAACTATATTTACTTCTTCCTTTGCATATAGGTTTGCAGACATGTGCCTGTATTTGTATGTATACATGTATATATATACACATACACACACCTATACACACATATACAGATATATGTGCTCATTTTTAATTTGGGGTCATCATTTTTCTTCACATCTGATTTTTATGTTGCCTTTTTGCTACTCAAAAGAAGAAAAAAACTTAATCTGATAAGGTAAATATTAGTGTTCCATTTTACAGATAGGAAAGTGGAGGCTCATGAATCTTCAGTGACTTGCCCAGGGCACAGAGCTAATCATAGTAAGGGTAGGGTTTGAGCCTAGGGCTGTTTTGTTTTTGTTTTTGTTTTTTTTTTTTTAAATAATATCCTCTTAACCACTAGACTAACTCCTGCAGTGAACATCATGGGGAAAACGGAAGCAAAAGATGAATACTCACACTAACAAACACAGTACCTCTTGCAACCCTTGAGTTCCAGTTCAATCTCTCTGTCAGTTTCTATGACTATCTCTCTCACCACTCAGAAAGCATGTTGGGAATGGATCTCAATCCTGCGCTGGGTGCCAGGAGGCTGCAGTGAGCAGGAACCAGCGCAGGAAGATGCTCAGCAGGAGTCTTTCAATGCAACCAGCCTGGACCTGGACTTCCTATAGGGAGATGCTTTACGGGTTTGTTTTTTCAGTCATCAGTGCATAATAACCCAAAGCTCCTATACCTATAAGGAAAGCTCCCACTTGGGACGCTGCAGCACATCCAGGGGAGCAGAGAACCTGACCAGTCAGTTATTCTAGCTTCACCCCCTAAGGGGCATCATCTTTGTTCTGGATCTTGCCTTCCTTCCCTTCTCAGCCCTTTGCTAACTTAATAGAACTTCACACGTGTGTAACTTTATGTATCTCGCTTCTCTTTCCCTCTACACCATAAGCTCATTGAGTCACTGATATCTTGTCTCTTTATTCTCTCCGGCACCCCAGTGCCCACAACAGTGGCAGACCCAGAGTATGTGCTAAATAAATGCTTATTGAAGAAACTCCAAACGCCTGCTAAGTCAACATCAATTGCTCAGACAAAGCAGGCACCTCATCTCTGCCACCTGCTTGCTTTCTCACTTTCCTGCCTCTTCCCACACCCAGCTGCAGGGCCGGCCTGAGTCAGCCACACCAAATAAGACCCTTCACAGGAAAACTCAGGCGCACCTCCGAGCTAACACTCCCACCTGCTGATTTTGGTGTTTGCCTCTCACACTGTAATTGAAAGCAGGTAAACGCAGTTAAAAATTGAAACAGAAATCAGAATACTAAGAGAGGGAAGAGGAAAGGATTCCTCAAGGTGGATGTCAGGGGTACACTTTCTGCCACCAATGCCTGGCCTCAGTCACCATAGGGCTTATATTTCACAGTTGGCTCCAGATTCTTCCTGTCAAAACTATCTTACACATCATAAAAATAAGCAAAAACACAGCCATTCAGTGGCTTGAGCACCTTTCTCAGATCATGGACTCAAAAGCACGTGTGCTTTAAGTTCAGTGGACTGAATTTAAATTCTCCGGACTAGATCTCAAACAACTGCCAGGGGCAAAACAACACTTCACTCTGTATTACTGAGGAAAACAGCACAAGGCTCTTCACATCTGCATCTGTTACTGCATGGTCAGGACTGAGGGGAGGGCATTCATTATTTTTGCCAGATCATCCATGGAAACAAACATCAAATCACAAATTTCAAAACCAAATGGAAGGACTAGGGAGATGGCTTAGCAGTTAAGAGCCCTTACTGCCCTTACAGGGAACCTGAGATCAGTTCGCAGCACCCACATTGAGCAAGCAACTCACAACCGCCTGTATCTCCAGCTGCAGGTGATCAAACATCCTTTTCTGACCTTCACAAGCACCTGCACTCACATGCACATACCTACACACAGACACACAAATGCAGACACACAGACATAGACACACACACAATACGTACAATACACACACAATTAAAAATACAAAATAACATCTTTAAAAGCAAATGGATATGAAGGGGACAACTTATTTATAACTTAAATTCAAAGGTAATTTATAAGAACCTGCTATGGGCCAAGTAACAGGACAGGAGCTGGTCTTAAGTGCTCAGAGTCTACTTTTTCTTCAAAGTTAAGGTCATAGAAGCTAGATAAATTACAGGCTGATGTAAAACTTCAGGAGCTCTTGTTAGGATAGCCATGAGTGAAATTGTCATGTTACTTCCAGTCCAAAACATGGGACCCTTCAAGGCTCTCTGTCCCTCTGCCATGGGGATAATCCATGTGGTTTACTAATTTGGTCAGGAAGTAAGAGGAATCACAGCTGACCTCCCAGAAGGAGCCATTTACATAGAAATAAATCGGTAATGTTTGGAGTTATTTGTTACTGCCTCACAACTTGGCCCATCCTGACTGCCCACCAAGCAGAGGTCAAATGGAAGGTCAGAAACAGTAGATACAGCGAGGTGCTCAGAACAGATGTGACAGGGAGACTTGGGTATTCCACAATTCCAATTTTTAAAAGTGCTCTAACATTATAAAGGATGTACAGGAGTATTAACTATTTTAAAACAACAAAAAAGGTAATTTCTGATTCCAAGGCCACTGGTCATTTTTCACAGACACCATCTCTACAATTTTTTAAAATATTTTTAAAGCTTATTTATTTATATTTTATGTGTATGAGTGTTTTGCCTGCATGCATATGAGTGCACTCATGATGTGCAAAGGCCACAGAGATCAGAAGAAATCATCAGATCCCCTGTAATTGGAGTTATAGGCAGTTGTTAGCTGCCATGTGGGTGCTAGGAACTGAACCTGGATCCTCTGGAAGAGCAGCCAGTGCTCTTAACCACTGAGCCATCTCTCTAGCTCCCCATCTGTACAAATTTAGACTTTCATTTCTCCAAAATTCTAATGGAAGAAGAGGGGGACAGGACACTTCATGCCCATAGGGAAACCATTTGGAGAAGAAGAAATGGGAAAAGAAAAAGAAAACTCTAGAAAGTGATGATGACGTGCTACTGACCTTCTGGACTGTTGTGGTCAGGTCCAGGCACAACTGAATGATCTTGTTCTTCGTTAATGCGAAATCAGTGATGCCTGTGAATGGAGCCCTAGAACATAAGAATCCTATTTTTAATAAAGGGAGGACGGTGGTTGTGAAGGTTCTGAGGACCCTACGCTGGGTGCTGGCAAGGACAGCTACATGTCAGGCTGGTTCTTTTGCACATAAGTGCTTCCTCTTCTGAAGTATATAAATATAAAGTAGAAATCTGAGTAGAAAAATAGAAGTTCGAGGCAAAAATACAACCAAAATGAGCCAAGCCAAGTCCACTAACTGCTTCATACCAACCACATACTCCAGCATTAATGCTTAATCTTGGGAAAACACAACCTTTAGCACAGTTTCACTCTCCCAAAGCTAGGGTTAATTTGTTCTTGTTGTTGGCCTTTGACGTCACTTCCAAAGGAACCCTAATATCTACCCTGACCCAGGTTCTCGGGGACAATGGTTTGTCTTCCTGAGGCAAGGTTCGGGTTTCTACGCATCTCAGGCCCTCCTTACACGAGACAGCAAAGGGCACACCACATCACAGCTCACCGGTCCAGCCAAGCCAGCAAGGCCTTGGCCGCGCCAATGAGTTCCACCACGGAAGTCAGGAACTCGTTGGGGGGCTTGCGGGACGTGTTCCCGTCATAAGCTGGACTCTTCCGCCGGCTACTTATGTAATTCTGCAAATTGTGGGAAGACGCTCGAAGTTTCAGAACCAGGTTCTTCATATTCTCGGTTTCAAGGCCATAATTCTGTGGGAAATAAAATTCAAAGGAAAAAATTCAAAACCATCAAAAATGTCTAAACTTTCATAATAACAGGAGACCCTGAGTAGCTGGAATTGACTGGAAAAGCTCATCCAACAGCCACAAAATTCTGCCTGGCTCAAGTTTGGGCTCCTCCGCCCAACCTCCTCACGTGCTGCTCCTCCCTCTGCTCCTCCTGTAGTGGTTTGAATCAGGAAGGTCCCCTGTAGGCTCTGGTATTTGAATACTTGGTCCCCAGCTGGCAGCACTGTTTAGAGAGGTCATAGAACCTTTAGGAGTGGAGCCTCGGTGGAGGAAGGACATCAGGGGACAGGCTCACCCCCACTTCTAGAGCACTCATTCTGCTTCCTATGTTCCACCGAGATGCCATCTCTGTTTTGCTCCTGCTACTTGCCGATTACCTCCCACCATGATAGACTCTGACCCTCTGGAACCATAAAGCAAAATACACTTTCTTTCTTAAGTTTCTTTCGGTCATGGTCATTTACACAGCAAAAGAAAAATGACTAAGACACCGCCATGCCCTCCTCCTGCCTCACGACGCTTCGTTCTTGCCAGTCCTTCATCTCTAAATAATCTTCCCACAGACTGTGGCATGGACAGCCCATTCTGATCACTCAGACCTGGAAAGATGTCCCCTCCTGACCACACAGTCCAGAACGGGCTTCCCCAACCTCAGCAACTGATGTGTGATGGGATGACTCTGTTAGAGGTGACTGCAGGGGGTAAACTCCTGTGCACTACAGAATACCAGCAAAACATATACACACACACACACACACACACACACACACACACACACACGCCCGCCCACCAGATACAAGAAGCTCACTCCCAGCTGTGACAACCAAAAATGTCTCCTGAACATGTTACTGTGTGTGTTCCCTGGGAGCAGGAACGTATACTCAAGTTGCTTTCCAGCACATCACCCACTTCTGCCCCATCTAGACCATGGGCCAGGACCACAGCACCACAGGTGATAGAAGGGAAGAATTTCCATCACTGGAGACTGCAAAAGCAGCATTACCAGTTCCCCTGAGGTGTAAACTCCCTCTCTGGACCTGCTGACCTGGGAACTTTTTAAACAAGGTTCAACTTGCCTAGGTGCTTTAAAACATCAATTTTAGGCTGAGGATGTAGCTCAGTAACAGAGCATTTGCCTAGCACATGGGAGGGCCCAGGTTCCAGCCTCAGCACCTTAAAAACCATCAATTTCATGTGACACTATTGCCCCAGATCTCTTTCCAGATAAAGAACCAAACCACACATAAAGCTGAGGTGGCTGTGGAGATAGGGAGGAATTTTTCATTTTGTTATGATATATGTCCCAAATCAATGTCTGATCATTTTAACAAAGAGGAGATATTTCTGGAGTGTATGACCAGTATCACACACTGGATCCAACAGCATTCCAAAGAAAGAACCAAAGAAGTTAGTTAAAAACTGGACAGAATATATTGGACATCATTGTATGTCATGAACTAGGCTGAGTGTTTGACATGCTGTGTCATCTCAGGGAAACAGCTGGTGAAGACAGAAATGTTACTGCAGGTCCAGCTTCCTGCATAGGACCAGAAGCACTTGGATTCTGTATGGATATTTACATACGCATAATATATCTTGTGGATGGCACTCAAACATAAACACAATATTGTTCCCTGCACCATAGCGTGAAGGCAACAGGATGCAGCATCTTCAGTGTGTTCATGACTTGATTGTGACCCTCACATGAGGTCAGGGATAGAATTTTCTCTTCTGGCCTCATGCTGGCACTCACTCCTAATGTTTCAGTTTAGAGCATTTCAGGTTGTTGTGTTACAGATGCTCAACCAGGTGAGAAAGGGAAGTACAAGAACAGTCTGCTCACCAAGCTACCCATGTGATCAGTGATAGGGCTGGGAGTCCAACCAAGGAACTCTGGGTCCAAGCCCACGCTTTTGCTCAGTTCACTATATGATACTCTCTCCCAACACTTTGCTCAAGAAAGAGCCCAGAGGTGAGATCAGAAATAGGCTGGATAACAGGAAAGGGTAAGAAATACATGCCAGGCATGATGATGCACACCTGTAACCCCAGCATTTACAAGGCCGAGGTAGGAGGATGGACAGTTTGAAGGCAACTGGACTACATAGTATATCTCAACAAAAAAATGAAGAAAAAAAGGAAAAAGGAAAAGCTTCCTAGTAACCCCAGATCTAGCACAAACTAACCAAAGATGCTTAATTCATGAAAATTCTATCCTGATACACTCTGTCACTTCTAAATTACTGGGGCTTCTATGAGCTGGCTATAGCCACCTCATCCTCAGAGCTAGAGAGGGGCTAGCCATGCACAATCTATATGTGTAAAGTATAAACATATCCAGAGGTTTGTAAGAAGTTTATTTTACAGCAAGAAATGATAAGTTAATAACAGCATATAGCTTGGGCTTCAGTAAAAACAACTCTAACTTTAAATAGATTTTACTGGCAGTTTAAATTTGTATTACTCACTACTAAAACTTTGAAGTTTTCAAAACTCAGAAATTTTCAAAGGAATTAAGCACAAATTAGCGTAAAACAGCTTCTCACAAGCTCTGAATGAGTAATACATCTCCTATATTAACAGCAACATTCTATCTAAATCTTACACTCACTTCTTTTTTCCATTCATTATTTTTTTCCTAAAGACTAAAATAGACTATCCTCACTCAATGGAGAAGAGAAAAATAAAGACGGATTATCCTCATGGTCTTTTAAATTCCAAGTTCATAGTGAATGGGTAAAGAGCCCATAAAGTCACAGCTTGTTTTGAAGGCTTGCAGCCGATTGGATGGAAGTGTCGCTCATTCAGTCAATTATTCAGCCTGACAACTTATGTCGAGAGTGTTCCCTGAAAGCAGGAAAGTTGGCTTTCTACAGCCAGTGCCACCACAAATTCCTTGGAACTTTTGTTTCCACACAGCACTAATTCTCATTTTATTTACTCATTATTTTATGTGTAATTATTTTATGTGTATTATTTTATATTATTATTTATTTTACTCATTTATTTACTCATTTTATTTTATGTGTATGAGTGTTTCACCTGTGTGTATGTGAGTGTACCCAGACATGTAATGCCCAAAGAGGTCAGAAGAAGGCATCAGATCCCTGGAACTGGAGTGAATAATGGTTGTTAGCTGTCATGGGGTTCTGGGAACAGAACCAGGGTCCAAGAGCAGCCAGTGACCTCCAGGCCATCCTCTCCAACCCGGAAGTTACTTCTTGAGCCTAAAGAGGTACTGCGAAGACTTTAAACCTCCTTCTTGGATGAACTACCACTTTAAAACATACAATAAAAGGGGAAACTGCTCCTTCTAAACACCTCTTTTCATTTTCCAATGGATTTGCTCTGATTTGGTTTTACCCAGAACAAATCATGAAACTGGAAAGATGGAGAGATGCAACTGCACTTGAGCATTATTCTAAAAAGAAGGAAAGCTGGAGAGGAGCTCCTTCCCTTTGCCCCTTATTCTACAAGGAGAGAAGAAGTAACTAATTCTACTGCTGGTAAGGACCTCTGCTGTAGAAACACAATCAGGACAGGGTTATTGATTCCCACAACCCACATCAAAAGGGAAAATGAAGACTTCCTCACAGGAAGTCTACACGGAGGGTACAGATCAGTGGCAGTGTGTGTTTAGTATAAGAAGAAGATAAAGGAGGAGGAAGAGGAAGAGGAGGAAGAGAAGGTTGCAGCCAACTAAGAAACAAATGAAATACAGCTCTGAAAAATCTATACAGACCCTCGTGCTGTTCTGTGACCTCATCAGGAGTTGGCCATCAGCAAGTTTGTCCTGGTCTGGGTGAGGAGCCCGAGGAAAGGAAAGAGGCCAGATTCTTACTCTTCTAGGGCCTGAAACTTACACCCTTTAAGGATAAAGCGCACAGCTCTGCCTCCTCCATCTTTCCCCATTTTTCTCAGCTCTGGTCATGATCAAAGGACACAGACTCAAAAACATCTCATTACCTAGATCCATTAAGTGACAACCTAAAAAACATACTGTTTATAGTTTTTCTAAAAATACATTCTAAGCTCCTAAGCAAGATCAAGTCAAACAGAAGTTGCTAGCCAAGATTTCCCTTCTGCAGAGTACATCTCCATCAGAGAGAGAGAAAATATTTTTGAATGCTGTGTCATGGGTAAATGATGACCAGTGAATCATCTGAAGGGAAAACAGAATGCACAAGAGTCCTGCACAGGAGATTCGGTACCTTGACCTCAGTGAACCTCAACTTAGGGTGGTGTCACTTAACACTGATGCTGACTCCAACTTTGTTCACACTCAGCCTCCAACAGCCTCCTTAGAAGCATAGCCGTTTTCTATGTGGGACCTCAGTGTTCCAGAGCTTCAGGGACGCTGCAAAGAGCTCAGGTCACCATTACATTTCTTACAGTCTGTCCTATGTTCCCAACCAGTGTGGTCCAATAGAACTTTCTACATTGATGAACGAGACGTTAATACTGTGGCTACTGCCACACGCAGCTACTGAGCACTGACTTTCATTTCATTTTAATTAGTCCTCACTAAGTAGCCACCTGTGGCAACAGCGATCTCACGGAAATGAGCAGCTCTGAGACTATCGGCTACCTCGGCCCCAGGAAGAGGGAGCAAAACTGAACTTGGAATTGTTTCGGCTCCTCACCCTCTAGCTATGTGAAGACAGGATCATTCAGAATCCCTCTGCTTTAGATCCCTATCCATCCTGCCCTTATCTTTGCTCCAAAACTTTGCAGTGATTCCGTGTTTCTCCTCCATCCTGCATTCCTTCCTCCTACTTCTGTTCACTTCCTGTCTGTCATAAAAATTAACATCGCTAGGTCAAGTTTATCGAGAAACCGCTTTTACAACACCAGAGCCAACTACAGCTCCACCTTAACTGCTCAGAAAATGAACTATTCAAAGCAAAAGGTTCTCACCCATGTGTCTCTCTAAAGATCTCTATCCTATCAGCTTCAATGAACAGTATAATTAGTGCATGCATTGTAACAATACCTTAAAAGAAGATTGTATACAGACTAGAGATATTTAATAAGACTTTATTATACCCTGCCCTGCCTCCCCACCAAAGAAAACATTTTCACTCACAAACTCTCAAGAAGATGCCCCCCACAACCCCGTGCAACGCAGTCAGGGGTACATTGCTGTATAGAGGAGGTCTCTCATGAGTCTGAAGTCAGAGCTTGGTCTACAGAGGAAGTTAGAAGGAAACTGCAGGAGATAAAACACAGTTTTAGGTTCTGGCCTTGGTCCAGCTTATTCCTTTCGTCTAGTATTTTAAGAGGTAGGGAAGAGGAAAAAGCAAAGAGAATGTCCATAGGGAGGCGCTCTAACAGCACCGCACCCCCAGCCCCCGGAGACACCGTGTGCCTGCCGCCAACCTGACTGCCTCACCTTCATACTCTGGATTTTGATTTCAAAGTAATTTGCTTGTCCTCTAACTATTACTGTAAAGTGAAAGAGACAACTGAACAGTGCAGAGCACTCTACCAGAGAAGACTGCAGAACTGTGTTTCCCGGAAAGGATAACAGAAGTGAACTCAAGCATGTTTGGCTCTGGAGAGCAGTTTTAATAACAAACAGGATGTTTAGGCACATCCTCAGCAATGCCGAACCCTCAGAAATGAGTCCACGGCCACATCTAAGGTGAGACTTACTGCACAGATGGGGAAAACAGACACCACATTTCCCCGGAGGTCACAGGACAAGTAGCCTGGAGCAGAGCCAGGAGGCAAATGTAAAAACCCTGCCTCCCAGGCCAACACTCAGACCGCTTGGCCACATCGTCTCCCTCGTGGCAGCTCATTTATCAACCACAGATAATTTCCCCATTACTTTCCTAAACGAGAGCGGTGCATCTCAGAACAGAAGACAAGGCTCTGTCCATTTTAAGAAGAATACACACAATGCGGCAAGTGTTACGTAATCGAAGGAGCACAGACCAGCAACAGCAACATCACCGCCGTATTCGTTCCCACCACTCTGAGTGATGTAATTGTATACTCCCCCAGGCTTGGGTTCAGCTATTACTCACCCAGCCTGATTGCTGGGGAGGGTATCTAAATCCTGGCCATTAAGTGAACTGTTCCCTAAGTATGGCACCATGACAGGAGACCTGAGTCTCACCCACACCAGACAGTTTGCAAACAGATGGCCTTATGGGTATTTTAAGGTCACACCTGAAGGAGCTACTCAGGAGCCATGTCCCAGGCAGAGTTTAAACACCTGCAATCTGGAATAAAGCTCACATATCCCCCAACCAGCTGTCATTTCTTCAGTTGATCATTTCAAGCACAAGCATCGGTTATTTAAACAACACGAATATCTCTGAAACTTGTAGTGGTTTTTATAGTAATGACACCAGAGGTGAACATTTAGCATTCCTCGTTTTAATTTATAACTGTCTCCCTTATCTTATAAAAGATAAGAAAATAGGGCTAATAGAGACATTTTCCATAAGAAGCAACTCTTTTCTGTAAAGGACAATACAATAAACATTTCAGGCTTTGGAGGGGCACATGGTCCCTGTTACGAGGACTCAGTTCTGTTCTTGCACAAAAGCACCCTCAGATAATACATCAATCAATGAGTACGCTGTTCTAATAAAACTTGATTTTCATATACAGGGATACAATGTATACGTGTGTATATATGAATGGGTATAAATGTAGGTAAAGACTAAAAATCTAGAAAGAAGACTGAGAGTAAAAATAAGTGCTGAGGAAGAGCGAAGGGTTAGCAAAAGGATGTATGTGACAGGAAGGAGGAGGGTTTACAGGGATGGGGGCAGGAAGTAAGGGAGATGAGGAAGACGTTCTGCTAAAACATACTTTGTTCAAAAATGCTACTTTATATGTTAATTTTTTAATCATTAAATGGTGGGGGGAGTCAGAGGTTGGGGAAATAGCTCAGTAGGCAAGGCGCATGCCTCATAAGCATGAGGTCCTGAGTTCAAGCCCCAGCACCCATGTCAAAACATCAGGCTTGGTGGCCCACATAATCCTAAGGTTGGACAAGTGGAGACAAAGGCTCCCTGGGGATTGTAGGTCAGCCAGGCTAGCCTCACTGGTAAGACCCAGGCCAATGAGATGCCCTGTCTCAAAGGAGGTAGACAGTGTTTCCAAAGATGACACCCAAGGTGGTCCTCCAGCCTCTGCACATAGGCATGCACATGCACTTACACACATGTGCACCCTCACACATGCACCCACATAACACATAAAGAAAAGACAGTGGGCCCAGTTTAACTCGTAGCCCATCATTTGCCAGCCTTTCCTCTAGAAAATACTTCATGTCCACTCATGTTTCTTTTCAATGAATCATTATGAAACTGATCGGCAGGGCTGGAGAGATGGCTCAGCAGTTAAGAGCACTGTCTGCCCTCTCAGAGGACCTAGGTTCAGTTCCCACCACCCTCATGGCGGCTACCAAACATCTGTAACTCCAGTTCCAAGGTATCTGATGTCCTCTTCTGGCCTCTGCAGGCACTGCACACATATGGTGCCCTTACACACATGAAGGCAAAACACTCATATACATAAATTTTTTTTAAAAAAAGAAAGAAACTGATAGGCTAACTCACATGAGGATTTGAGAGATCAAGGCCCTAAAGAAAGTCATCACATAACAGGTCACTTTTCTCCCAACTAACCAGTGCACAGAGAAGGTCCACAGCCTCCAGCACCAGCTCCTGGTGTCCGATCCGTGTGACGCCCAGCTCCTCGAGGTCCTGATGCGAGATCCTCAATAGCTGCTCCCCGTCTATCTTCTCCCTCTCAAACTTGTGGACATACGGCTGCAGGCAGTCATCTAACCCTACCAAAAAATGAAAAATCCATTACTATCCTGGGGCCGCTGTATCCCAAACATCACCACATTTATACCAATCTCAGCAATCATCAAATACACGTTCACTATTTGATCATCTCTATGTATATTTCACCTAATGGGCTTCTTTCCTGTGATGTCTCCTCATCACAAACAGGTTGTACATGTGCACTGCCAAACTATCAAATGGACCCAGCCCGACTTTAGGACAGGTGCTTCCCCATATCCTATAAACAAAAGAGTTTAACACTACCCCTGCTGATTTGAAATGCTAGTGATCTATACCAGAGCTATGCTATCTGTTTGCAAACCACCCTTCCTCTAGGACAGGATCTGGTCCCCAGTGGGCTTGCCAATCAAGATGCTTGGCCCTGTAGTTGGTATATGGCCAGGCAGACAACAACACTCTAGTGAGATGGGGCCATGGGATTTAAGCAGAACTAATCAGTATCTTCCTTGATATTTGATATGCAGATACAAGAAGATAAAGTGCTCTGTTTTTCCCCAGTTAGAAGTCACAGGACACAACTCTGGCAATGAAGACAGACATTTTTTGATAAGTTTTCTGAGAATAAATCCAGCTAAGAGAGCAAAAGAAATGCTCTGATAATATTCTGTAAAGGCCCCGGATCTAACTCTACTAGAAATACTTCTATCCCAAGAATTTGCCACTTAAATTGAAATAAATTTCCTGTCTAGCTTAAGCTTGTGTTGAGTTTCTGTCCTTTGTAATAGAATATTTGGATGAATACAAAATTTAAAGGAGAAGGTGCCAGCCCCACTACTGGGGAATTTTCCAGGTCAAACACTACTGCCAATGGTGTCTTGTTCTGACATTCATATATAAAAACTAAAGTAAAAAAGAACTTTGGAATCTTTATTGCTATACAGAAAACTCTCTGGTCAACTTCTTATAATGATTTCCATAGAATAACATCTCACTTCAAATCAGCCATTCTTTTTGACCTTAATAGTAAGTTACCCTAGTATTTTAAATGACTATAATTATATAACCTCAATCCCAACATGAGTTGATCAGTTTCACTGATCAAAGTATTGTGGAAGGTACACTGCTGTCCCATACCAAACACACACAGACACATGTGGCTGAACACTCATTTGTGCACACATAAACATGCATATACTTGCATGCACATGCATTTGTATCATTTGGCCTTCTCAAAAAATACGCCATGTGGGTGGGTATTTCTCTCAGTTGAAAAAAGTAGACCACAGGTCCAGCACTGATTTTAGTCAATATCAGAAGCCCATAGACTTTAAAAACTGACAAATGAGGTTGAAATCTGTCTCTACTCCCACAAACTTTCACCATTTGCCTCTTGATAAGACAGAGGAAGAAAGGGGGGTTAAAATCTATTCAGAGTCACAAAATACAGAAAAGGAAGACAGGGGAACCAACTTGTCCTCCATGAACAGACATCTGTCACAAGAGAGGCTCTGTCACAGCAGGCAATGTTGGGGACACTGGTATAAATCCATCCCATTCTGACAGGTTAAAGCCACAGTGGCCTCTGGGGCATGAGAGTTCGGCAAGTAGTGGAGGTTAGGGGCACCAGCAGATATTGAGATAGATGCCCCAGCTGGGGTCAGAGGCCATCCCAGCACTGTGATACCAGGAGTCAGCTGTCTGACAGGAGGCAAGATCTCTCTGCAGCAGGAAAGACCAGAGGAGAGCCTCCTAGCTCCCCTGTATTGGATTCATAGATTTCTTCATCCCACAGCCACATGTAGGGAAAGAGCTTTGCAGTTCTTCTGTTCAGACACCAAAGGAAAAAGCCCAAGTTACCTCAAGGTCTGTGGGCTGCTCTTTCACATTCTGCCTGGCAAATGAGGCATCATGACGTGAGATTATAAAAATTCTTCCCTGCAGCTGGGCATGGTGGCACATGCCTTTAATCCCAGCACTCGGGAAGCAGAGGCAGGCGGATCTCTGTGAGTTCCAGCCAGCCTGGTCTACATAGTGAGTTCCAGGCCACCAGGACTACTGGGAGACCCTGTCTCAAAAAGATGAGAGAGAGAGAGAGAGAGAGAGAGAGAGAGAGAGAGAGAGAGAGAGAGAGACAGACAGAGAGACAGAGAGGCAAAAATTCTATTCTTCCCTGGGCATCTTTCTAAATAAGCAGTAAGGTCTAATGACAAAATAGTTACTAAAATAAATAAAATCACAGAATCTTAAAGGGGCATAAAAGATTCTTCAGATCTCAGTGATTCCAAAAGTTAGGGTGAAATCCCTGTGAAATTCACTCTGAATCTCTTAGTCAGCCCTGAACCAGCTCACGACCAGACCCCAATGCAGTCTTATGGCACCTATTTCTAAACTTAAAAAAAGATTTGCATTTAATTGTCCATAAAAGTTTAAGACAATTAGGTTAAACATTTAAACCCTGTTACGGCTGAATTTTATTCTCTCTGAAGTTCATACATTGACACCCTAACCCCGAGGACCTCAAAATACATTTAGAGAGTCTCTAAAGAAGCAATCAAGTTTAAAATGACATCGTTAGCATGGTCTCAATCCATACTAGTGTCCTTGTAAATAGAGCAGATACAGATACAGATGTTTTCAGTGTTGTGGATTTTAGTCATTCTAGTAAGTAGGAAGGGTATTTCACTATTATTTCCCTAATGAAGTACATCTTACTGTGTTTGGGTTTCTAGAAGAGACACTATGGTTTTTTAAAGAATTTTTCTTTCAAACATTTCTGCATGTGATATGCTAGATTTATTTCATAATGTCAAAACAGCCTTGAAAACTCATAATAAAGCCCATCTGAAGTCAACCCCAACAGAGATCAGGAGAGGACACACAGAGAGAGAGAGACCTCATCAGGAGAAATCACCTCTGCTGATACCTTTATCTCAGACTTCTGGCCTCTAGAATTGTGAGTCCATAAATTAGTTGTTTGAGCCCCACAGTCTATTGTACTTTGACATGATGGCCAATGCAAAAGAATACAAAGCTAGCTATGTTTGATTTCCTATTCATCCATATGAATGACATAAAGAGAGCAATGGACAAGTGAGACTGACATTTCTGCTTACAATGTCAGACAAGTTTACTGCTCAGCATTCAAGTATGAAGCTGACAGTCTGCATCACCAAAGTGAACTCTACCATTAAAATTCAATGAAGAGCTGCGGAAGGGAATTCAGTTGGTAGAGTGAATTCCCTTTTTTCTCTCTCTCAAAAAAAGGAATTACAATGAAAAACCCTTATATGATGGCTGTTTTATAAGCATCACCCTTGAAAGATAAGAAGGTGATGAGACCAGAGTCCTACTTTAATCCCTAACATTGGCTGAGGAAACAGCACCTCAGGCCTGGTACCGGAGCCCTGCGGAAGTGTTCGAGGCACAGAAAGGTTGAGATGGGGATCTGATGAAGGTTCTAGAGCACAGGCTGAAATGATCAGGAATTGATAACTGACCGGCACAGAATGGTGAACATGCCTTAAGGCTTCTGAAGAAACATAAGTAGTGTAACCTCAAGGAATTAAAGTGCCCTAAGACACAGAATTATCAAATGGAAACATTGTGTCACAGCCTAAGTAAAGACTGATCTCTTGTGGCTTACACCCTTCCCCACAAGGTGCATACTGAATACTACATCTTAAACAGCATTGCCATGGAGTTTTATGATCCCAACACACCATGCCTATTGTTTAGTTATCATATTGTTTAGAATACAATTAGACATTCACAAGCAGCCAATTTAAACTATTACACAGTCCCACAAGGGGGGGGGGACTCAATTTCAGTACATTGATCTAACAGTTCTGGAATTTGCAACAAACCTCTCTTTTTCTTATCTCTAAAACATATCTGTTGACCCTTTCTTCAAAGAAGGTATACAAATAAATAAATGCAATTTTAAATTTTAAATAAAACTATCAACATTGATATTTCTTTTTCAAATATATATTTTTTTATTTTATGTGTATGTGTGTATTGCCTACATGTATATGAGTACGCCCATGTCGTGCAATGCCTCAGTGGTCAGAAGAGGGCGTTGGATTCCCCTGGAACTGGAGTTAAGGACAGTTAGTAGCTGTCATGTGGGTGCTGGGAATCAAACCCAGGTCCTCTGCAAGAGCAGTCAGTGCTCTTAACTGCTGAGCCATCTCTCCAGCCCCAATACTGTTATTTCTAATCAATGATAATCAAATATATCAAACTATTTGAGGGGCCATGCCTTTAATCCTAGGCACTTGGGAGGCAGAGGCAGGTGAATCTCTGTGAGATCAGAGGCCAGCCTGGTCTACATGGTAAGTTCCACATCAGCTGGGGCTATCGGGAGATCCTGTCTCAAAAATACCCAAAAAAAAACACATGGTTAGAAGCAGCTTTTCACTACAGCTTTAACATATTCAGTAACATACTCCAGAGCAAGAGTACATCTCTTTCACAAGTGGGTGCAAGTTTCTAGGTTCACAGTTGAATTAATATAGTTATATATTATTGAACGCAGTATAAGCCCTGTAAGACATAAAATTCGATGAGTTTTAAACCTTCAAAAAAGCTCTCCATTTCATTTTAGAATATATTGTTTCTTACAGAAAGACTCATTGTTTTTGCTACTAACACTGAGATGTTGGAGCTTGCATCTCTAATCTGTATGTATCTGATTATTACTAGTCATAATCGGTTGCACTTGGATCCTTGACGCCTGTGTATGTCTATGTCATCAGGCAGATTTCAATGGTATTGTTTATCACCTTTACTAATTAGCATAAATTTCCATGCTTCCTCCTCAAATATAATACATTTTTTTAATTTGTTGATTTGTGTGTGTGTGTGTGTGTGTGTGTATCACACAGAACGTCCCAAACCATCTCATTTGACTATACACCCACTTCCCAGTTAGCATCCTCTCATAGCCTCCCTCCCCCTACTAGAGCCCTTATACGCTAATATCCCTGCTACTGTCAGCTGTGTTGTCGGCACCCCCAGCCATCCCCACTACTTGTCC